CCAGGCCTGAACCCAACACTACCATGCCCACTAAACCATGTCCCTAAGCGCCTCATCTACATGTCTTTTAAATACCTCCAGGGATGGTGACTCCACCACTTCCCTGGGCAGCCTGTTCCAAGGCCTGACCACTCTTTCAGTAAAGAAGTTTTCCCTAATGTCCAGTCTAAACCTCCCTTGGTGCAACTTGAGGCCATTTCCTCTCGTCCTATCGCTGGTTACTTGGGAGAAGAGACCACCCCCCACCTCGCTACAACCTCCTTTCAGGTAGTTGTAGAGCGCGATGAGGTCTCCCCTCAGCCTCCTCTTCTCCAGGCTAAACAGCCCCAGTTCCCTCAGCCGCTCCTCATAAGACTTGTGCTCCAGGCCCTTCACCAGCTTCGTTGCCTTCGTTGATCCTCAAAGAGGAGCTGAACTATAGAGATATCCTTGTTTTTATCTAAAGGTGTGCGCTTGTGTGTCTGTGTGTGTGCATGCCTGTGTGTGTCCATATGTCGATTTTCTTTCAAATATTTGTCTGCTCCTGAACGGCAACTGCAGAAACTTCCACCAGCAGCAGCAGTAAACTTGCACTGACCTAATAAGCAAGGGTATGAGCTGCTCTTGCATCCAGCCTTAGTGTGAGAGAGGGAGATGAGAAGAGGTTTAATTTGGCCTCTTGTATGAATGGGTTTGCTGTCACAAAAAGCCTAAATTCTCTTAGGGCTGTGATGTCTGTGCTGACATAAAGGTCTTAATATATGTTAGCATGAAGAAAATGCTAAATGACACAAATTTTTCCCCCAACAGCTGATAATTTTCAAAATTATTTTGCTTATGATATTGCTGCTTTTTCACAAGTGTATACAGTGTACATTACAGAGGAAAATGGAGGTCAAAATCTTAGGTGTTAGCGTAACTAATGAAGCTTGGGTCTAAGGAACATGATTTAATCCTAAAATCTATGGCACTGAGAGGCTGAACTCACTTCAGCTGCACTGTGAGACTTGCCGAAGTTGTGAGTGTAAAAACTAACACTCTCTTAGGGTGGGTTATTTGGGGATTCACAGAGCCCAAACTTTAAATTTGCACATATAAATGCATAGGTTTTTAAAGCCAGAAGGAACCACCAAGATCTAGTCTGACCTCCTTTATAATGCAGCCACAGAATTTCACCTCGTAATTCCCTGCCTGAGCCAAATAACATGAGTATTCATGCCAGAAGTGTTTGTGCTTTAATTCAGTAAGGGAATAGGTATGATACCAGGCTGTTTATCCTGCAATCTCAACACAGCCACAGAGCCCAAGCATCAAATTCTCTCAAACTTGTGGTGATAGTAATAAAAATTGCTAAATGCCTTTGAATAACAAATAAATCTGATTAAACACACTCTGCTTATGGCTATCCTGTGAGCAAGAAAGAAAATAAATTGTTAGATACATGATTTATAGAATATTATTCACTTTTCTGAGTAACTGTCTCTGTTCTTGGGTCTTTGATATTCTGATAGCAATGTCCTTTGCAAATAATGCAAAATGATGTATATTTTAGCAGCTACTGGCTAGGTTCTCAAGAGGAAACATTCTCTAATAGCCTGGTGCTCCCGAGGGGCTTTTACAAGCAATAAAATCCAAAGTATACAAGCCAGATTTTTGTCAAATCTTGCTTATACAAACATGAATTTCAGCTTCAGAGATCTTGTTTTCTCATTGCGAGACAAGACCAGATGATGTGCAGCCAGAGTCCTGCATCCTGCAGACATTTGAAGGGTCAACAGCCTACGTGGTAGAGCAAATATTTGGAGTCTGAAGAGTGGCACAGAAACCACCTACTGATTTCTTCAGTGGGGCAGGTGCGGGGAAAGGGCCCTCACACAGCAATCTCCTCGTCCACTGAACTCCTTTCCTGCCTGTACTTTCTATGGCCAGTGGTGAAGAAGGCAGAAAACCTCTCCATATGTGGTGAAAAAAAGGTCTGGTGAAACAAAGGTCAGGTGAAGAAACCTTTGATTTCTTCCTCTTACAGGAGAGGATAAGAAGGATAAAAATTGTTCGTACATCATATTTAATGTGGTAAACCAAATTTTGGGATAAAGTTTATTGAAGATGCCATATCTTCTCACCATTCTTTGCCAAGCTCTACATAACATTTACAGCAGCCAAAAATCTCCAGCAACATTGTCGTTGGTGGCCAGCTCTGAGGGGACCTCTTACTTTCTGCCATGCAAGATGTGGTGTTGGGAACATTTCCTGAAGTATTGGTGTTTTGTTTTCACTAGTACAGTGATTCTGAAACTAGAACTTGTGAACCCAGCTGAAGTCATGCCACAAATATATGTAATTAGGAGCCTAGTGGAAAAAAAATTGCAGAACAGGTCTCACAATGTGACCGTGAGAGAGAAAGGAAGGGAAAGGCATGACTTCCAAGTGCAGCCAGGGTTGGGAACACCTCTAGATAGCCTTGGGCACTCTCGCCAGAAGCTTTCAGACCCCTTACATGGCATGGTGGTGCCCCCAGCACTCTCCGGACTCCATTTGCCTTTCTCGGTTTCCCTTGTGAAAGGATTTTTTTTTTTACATTCAACCCCATGCTCTCTACTTATTAACCTTGAATTTTTCTCCTCAAAATCCCTGTTTGGGTCCCTTGTCTGGTTTCCTTCACTTCTAGTTACTGGAGCTGCCTGCACCAGACCTACAAATAACCTCTTCTATGATCATTTCCCATCTCTATCCTTCCCCTTTATTGGAACGACTGTTCCCTCTTCCTTGAAACTCTAAGCCTTCATTGATTTCTGAATCTCCATGCTTATTTGATCTTTTCTCTTCATCTGCTAATTCAGCAGTAGTTCTACCAATTTTCTATGTGCCAGAGGTCTTAACCTCACCAAGAAGCCCATGGTGCTTGGAAAGGTTGTGTTTTGTGAGGGACAGAGGGGAGCTTCCCCGTGCCAGTTGCCAGCAGATCTGCTTCGAGACACACAGGCTTAGGAAATTTGTCAAGAAAATGCAGTAGGAAAGGCCCACTGGACTGGGAGTGACTGAGCTGCCCTGTTAAATAAAAAAAACCTAAACGAAACTACTGAAATTCTACAGGTCCTGTAGTTGAGGCACTGGCTGCTGATTTTGGCACAGGCTTGCACTGCTCTCACCACAGCAACCCTTCAGCTGGACCCATCATTGCACGTATGGCTGTTTGCTCTGCAAAAAGTCCTGCAGATTTCCTCAGTGCAGTGCAACACGCGAATATCCAAACTTCTGAAGCATTTGTAGTGCCCCAACACTACCATCATTCCTACAAACGTTGCTTTTTCCACCCCTTTTCTCAGCCTCAGAGCTTTTAACTGTCCCTGTTGAGAATAAACATTTGCTGTTCAAAGCAGGGAATAACAACTGCTGATTTTTTTTTTTTTGTCTAGGAAAATCCCATGCCCATTTCAGTTACAGTGCAAATAAATAATAAAATTTGCAGTAATTCATACAATATTGCAATAATAAGACCAAAGATGAGAGCTGCAAGATTTTTTGTTTTCTGGAAAAACTTTGTGGCAGATTCTTTTTTTCTTCACAGACTTTAATGCTGTTTAGATATGTGGCAACAAGGAAAGGATTCACTGAAAGTGCTTAGCAGGTGTGCTTGGAGAAAACCCAACTGAGACTGTGCATTACAGTCAACATCCCCATCAATAGCAAATGTAATATTATTTGCAAAGCTGATATTTAATTCACTGGCTAATGACATTCAAAACCACAGGGAGTGCAATATTTCCATTCTCGAACTTAAACGTGTTTAGTTTTTTGAGTCCGTAGGAGTCTGAATTAGGAAAACCCAGCTGCATCTAAAAACGGTGCGGGAGATCCACTGAAAACAGTTTGGGTTTTCTGTTATCTCTTTATGAATAAATGAAAACATTATAGCAGAAGTTGCTCTTTATCCGTCACGCAAATACAACAGTCGTGACGATTACACTTAGCAGAGGGTGGATTTTGTGAGTCTGTCAGTATTTCCATTTGCTGGTTCAGCCATATATTTTCGGCCAAAATGCCAGGCGTTGCTAACCCTACAGAGTAATTTAACTTCAGTAGGTCATCTGGTTAAAGCTAAGAGCAGAATTTATGCATTTGCATTAAACAAAAGCCTTATGCTTCTTTGAAAGATTATGTTTATAGTGGCCTTTAATAATCGGGCCAAATTCTCGGCTGATGTAATTTGACTGAGTTCTTTGGCATGATATTCCAGCAGAGAATTTGATCATAACATTTACATTCCTATAGCTATACTATAATGTATTTTACATGTAGAGCTGCATGTTAATGTACATAATATATATATAATGCATGTGTACTTATATACTAATAGTATAGTAAATATGCATCCAAACGCACACACTTTTTTCAGTTTGTGATAGCCATCATTTGCTATTAGTTAATGCCCTAAATTGAGAATGGTGAATGTGTTGACATTTTACGTGCCTCCATGGAATAACTATGAAATATTTATTATATGGCAATTATTCTACATAAATATATGTTGTATTTACAGGACAGAGCAGAAAGCCACTGAGAGGGCTGTGACATGAAAGTTCTGCATCGACATTCAAAACAGTAGCAATATTCCCAGCAGCTTTTAGGGCACTTTATCCAATAGGGTGCAGATGAGCTAAGTTTATCTGCATGATGGTTGGTTTGCAAGTTTTGTGGTAAATGATCCAATAAGAGCAGAGTGGATGTATTTTATTTGCACACTGAAATTCTATTGGCAAAAATGCTGCAAAGACAGTTTATATTTTTGTCACACTGTAAAAAGCAACTAACGACCCATGGAGAATTTGGGAAAATGTCCTATTTACATTCCGTCCTATTTATATGGTCTGTTTTTGCATACAAAGGAGGTCTTTGTTTCCGCAGGGTTTGTCAGCACCTGCTAGTTATTCCCCACCAGTAGCCGTAGTCCTCTGTGACATCAAACTTCATTTCCACATGCAAAGAGTTTTGCGATGTATATACATCAGGTGCTACGGTACCTGGCGATTTTGTCTGTGCAGGACATGGTGATGAGCTGCTCCCCCAGCAACACGCCGTCCCACGTCTGAGCTGCGTTATGACACCGGACAGGTATGGTTCCTTCTCCAGATTCAATCTTTGTTCGGAGGTGCCCACGGTATTTTCTCACTATGTGCTTGCTGCTGTTCACTGGGGAAAAAAAGCATGAGAGGCAATAATTAAATGTTTTTAGAAAGAAACTGAGAGGCTGTTTTGATGCCATAGCTTGCATTTGCAGAATCACCCGTCCTTTAAATTGAATGCAAACTTAGATGAGATTACAGCCCAAGAAAGCAGCACAATGCAGAAAAGTATGTGCTCCCTAACGTGGTTGTCTTTTCACATCTACCAAAACTTTTACACAGCCCATGCTGACCTCATGTTCCCATTCCCATTCCCTTCCATATTTAAGAAGAACAGAGGTGCTCTGTTTTTTAAGGAAGCAATACAATTTCTTGTTTTTACTCCATGCTTATAGGATTGAGCTGTGTCAGGGGAATATTTGGAAAACCTTGGTTCAATGAGTGTGATCAAAGACTCACCTGCCTGACCCAATCCAGTCCAATACCCTGGTGTGATATTCAGTGGCATTTTCTGAAAAATTTCAGAACTGAGGTTCTAGTTTGTTATCACGAAATTTCACTGAAAATTCTCAAAAGCTCAAGTTTTAAACTCTGGATCAAAAGCAAATCAAAACTTGGTAGTTATTCATTGCTTAAATTCCCTCTATAATCTCCCTAAAGTGAGGTACACTACTGCTTTGTGTCACACCGATATCTTTTATGCAATTGCCATCCGTCATTTCAGTGATATTATATATATTTGAGTGCAAGGCAGCTAACGCACTTGTCCTGTGCTGCAGGGAACTTAACTGAGTCCTGCAGATATGCAGTAAGTGCAGAAGATAATGACATTTCTAAAGTACTTCACCTTCATTTTTATGAAAAGAGAAAAACTGAAGTTCATTATCAAAATCACTCTTACTCTCTTTATACTGCTGCTTTAACCCTGGATATTTTGGTTGTAAAAGGACAGCAATGTAGGAGCAAGGGAATCCTCTGGGTCTGCTCACTGGCTTACTCTCAGAGGGTTTCACTGGAGGACACCTTCTCTATGAAGCAGACCTCTCACAATTTCCCTTTAGCCCAAAGGAAAATAACGAACGATGGTACATGATGGCCTTTGCTTTCAAGGAAAAGGGGCACTGCTTCTACAGACAGCTTTCGTCCGTATTTCCAACTCTCCAGTGTATTTTTCCATGGCCTGCCCCTCAGCTGGACCAGAAGGCTTCTGCTTGTGAAGGTGATGCTCCTCAGCCCTCAGCGGGCTACGGGGCTGCTTGGGTTCCTGGCACCAAGTAACACGGGGGTGTCACAGGTTGCGGGGCTGACCGAACCTCCGGCTGCGAGCAGCAAGCTCCGTGCAGGCTACCTAGCCGCCTGCTCTCTCCCTCTGTCATTTTTTACCATCTTGGCTTTGTATGACTGTCTGTGCTGCAAGCTCTGGTGGAAACAATTGATTGACTTTGGCTGCTGCCAGTGGATGGTTTACAAAAAGGGAATGGGAAAATAAATCGCTTCAGCCCATTGGGATTAGCAGAGGCAGCAAACACGTGTAGAGCAGCAGAGTCAGCTGTGACCTGCCAGCAGACGGGCGGCTGAGCCCCCACCGATCATTGCCGCGTCGCTTCCTTCCTGCTTTTTTAAAATTTAAGATGGGGATGTGTATGCCAGTGACAGGCTGAACCAGGTACCAACTGGATTGACTGGCCACGGTTGAGACCAATTCCCACCCAAAACCAGGCTCCATCATATCTGAAATGTTTGCAAATATGTAAGGTTTGTTTGTGCTGCTTCAGGAACCGAGTTTGGGGGAGAGCAGTTATTGCACTGCCATCCCCATCAGCAGCGGTGTCCCAGTGGGGGACACGGGGGTACTTGTGCCCCGTTGTCACAGAGCAGCTCACAAACGGAGACACTGCAGTAACCACCAGACTTGGAGCATTGTGGCTTCTCAAACTTCAGTCCTGAGGGAAACTGGGAAAAGCCAATGAAGACAAATAAAAAATTCAATAAGCAAAAATGCCAAACTCTCAGAAATGTCTCAGATCCTCTCCCCTCAAATTGCTGGGCTGTGCCAACACTGTCGGGAAAATATTTTCATGGCCATGTGTGCTGATCCTATGTACATCCCTCTTGCCTGGGATGCCTCCTGCAGTATTGTTCAGAGGATGCTCTTTGAATGGGATTAGCTATCTGGGAACCGGTTCATATTTTTCTTGGGACTCTGTAAGGAAACTTGCTTTTTAAAAACTTCAAGCAGTGGTGAGCAGCATTTTTTATTATTAAACAACAGAGTTGTGGAGAAGGTACCACGAAATTTGGACAACAAAAGGAGAAAGTGATCACTCCTGCTTAGCAAACACATCTCACTGAGCAACAGCAAGAAATGTATAGCAAACCCACTTTGCCTTAGTCTGCACACACCGAGAACTGATGGCACAGCAGAGCTAGACCTCTGCCAGGGAAGCAGTGAAGAGTGACTCAAGAGACTATTGCTGTTTCAGCTGGTAGAAAGTTTGACTTTAAGCAAATCAGTTCTCTTTTCCTAAGCTTTCCCGCAGGTATAATGAAGATAATGATGCTTCCTTCTTCCGCAAATTCGTTTAAAGGTACTGCTCAAAAACTATTTATGAAAACCAGATGCTATCCTTTCAATAAAGATCTACCACAGGAGTCCACCTGTTGGAAATCCCCCAGGACAAAATGAATTTTTAGTGTTTCTTTCTCCATCTTTTTTTTAGAAGAACGTTTTCTCTTGCTAGGCCTTTCTCTCCCCATTTTCCATCTCTCTCTACATTCCTCTCACTTTCTCAGCTCCCACTCTGACCTTCCCCCGTAGGTGCATTGGTCTTCTAAATTACTGTCTTTTTCAGGCAGTTCACCATGTTGATACGCCTACATTTTGCATACATGCGAAGCGACATGTAACTGCTAGGGAATTTTAGTGTCTGCATGACAAGATGAGTAGCCCATAGTTTATGTGACTTTGATTTCACTATGTAAATATTACCTAGTGAGGGGCAAAGCATCCTACAAAGTGCTGACAGAGATAAAGAGAGAGCCAGTTCAGGGGAAGAAGAAGAAGCAGCAGCAGCCTTGCAAACAGCTGTTGAGTACTTGGGGAATGTAAAGCATAGACCAAAAATTTGAGGGCAAAGAGATCTGAAACATTTCTGTGAGATTGGGGGGTCTGCTTATTTCATTTTTTATTTGTCTATTTGGTCTTCTCAGTTTCCCTCAGGACTGAAGGAAATACAAAGACCAGAGTACAGACAGTACAACAAAGTCTGGTTGTTATTGTAGCATCTCAACCCTGGCCTGCAAGTACCAGAAACTGAGTAATAAAGTTTTTAAAAGCATTTAGTAAGTGTGTGCAAGTGCACAGACCATCTCTGCTTCCAAATGCTCATATTAACTCAGCCCAGATATCAAACTTTGCTCCCCGTAATGCGCGTTCTACCCAGGGTGCAGCCAAGCAGACGGCATTAGCTGATAGGATTCAGGCAGCTGTGGCCAGTGTACGCTCACCCTGGGATTCACTTCCACAGCACTGATAAGGGGTTTTAGCTGCTCAACTGCTATTAAATTCAACGGCTAGGGTGTGACTAAAACCCCGTGCTGTACTGCCTGTCTCAGACTGTTCACATTACTGGGGTAGCTGGCACACATGCTCCAAAAGATGATCCGTAGCATTTATATAAATTACTAAGAACCCAAAGCTCTGAATACTTTCAGGTTGACAATGATTAAATAAATCCAGATCTGTAGCTGGAATGCACTTAGTTCTTTTTTAACATGTCGTTAAGTAGTGCAGGAAGATATAAATATTGAACAAAGAAAAAGATGAGGCTCTGTGTCTTTTGCACTGAAGCTTCAGACAGACTCTAGCACATAAGCTGCTTGCCATCGTAAAAAATGCAGTCCACTTGCTGGCACAGCCTGCTACAGATCATTTTAAAGCTGTCTCAGAAATATATTTATTTATGCAACTTAAAGTCACAAACTACAGCCTACTGCTGTTCTGCTGTTCAGTATGATCAAAGCATCAGTGACTATGAGCATTTCTGATCTTTGCTGGGCTGGTTCTCCAACTGCTTAATCTCAACTAATTGCAGGGGAGAAGGCGTCTGAGGATGCCACTTCAACCAGAACAAAATGTCAATTCAAACTGGCATTGGAAAGGACAAATTTAAAAATCATTTGGAGTGGATTTATGATGTGTGCTACACTCAGATGTGGAAATTACTCCTGAGAGTTCCTAAGATAAAAAGGCACTGGATTATTTATTATTGGATTAGAAATTTACACAGGTGCCTTGTATTCAAAATCAGTGAAACCCACTGATTTCAAAGCTTGCCCCTTATTTTCATATTTTCTGCAGGACCAGTTCTGGCTCAAATGGTAATGAAAAAAGCCACTCCATATTTATTATTTAGTTGAAGAGTGAAGAGGAAATGGACGGAGATTAAACAGAATTACGCGAGTAAGGCTCTGTCTGAAATTTTGCATGACTGCCTCAGAGGTTCATTTTCTATTTCCCTGCTTCAGTGGAGGCTGTTCTCTCCTCATGAAAGAAGAAATAAAACAGCCTATCTTGCATTTTTTCAGTGTTGGACCCTCCATTCATCAGCATGGTTTATAAAGCTTCCTTAGAGTGGTTTGAAACAAAGGGGTGCAAAAGAGAAGTGTTAACATCTAACTGCCTTTGTATTTTGGTGGTTATTAGAGATGCACTTTTTCAAGCAGGTGCTGAATAAATGTACAGTATTACTATTTCCGAAGTGTTGAAGTGAGCATCATGGCACACTGAATGCTTTGGATGTGTCTCCTTTGCTGGGTAGGGTGGTGGGTCAAATAAATCTCTGCTGCAATGTGCTTTGGTGACCGGCAGAGAGCGAGGCTAAACTGCAGTGGGCCAGCTTTTGAAAGCAAGAAACTTTAGGGGTATTCTGAAAGAAGCCTGGATTTAGGAAAAAAAGAATAGGTCCCCTCACAACGTGCAAAGCTGAATTGTGGCTTCTAAGGGTAGGATTCATCACACCGAGGGCTAGACAGGTAAAAGCAGCGGTCTTGTCTGAGGGTCTTTGG